CAGGTGAAGGAGAACGACAACGGGACGAACAAAGGAGGGCAGTGTGGAGGTCAGTAACAGGGGACGAGTGACGAGCACGCGGAGGACAACGAGTGATCAAGTCGTGACGGACAGAGTGAGGAGGAGACTGAGGAGGAGGAGAAGACCAGACCGCGGGACGGTCGTCAGGAGGAGGCAACGGAGGAACAAACACAGGAGGAGACTGGGAGCGGACAGGAGGAGAGGAGGAAAGGCCAAGGGCTCGCAGGCCACTCACAGGTGGGAACAACTGCCGCTCCAGAGGAAGCTGCGGTGGCGGCTGCGGCTGCTGCTGCTGCGGCTGCGGCGGCGGCTGCGGCTGCTGCTGCTGTGGCTGCGGCGGCGGCTGCGGCTGCTGCTGCTGCTGCGGCTGCGGCTGCGGCGGCGGCTGCGGCTGCTGCTGCTGCGGCTGCTGCTGCTGCGGCTGCTGCTGCTGCCACTGCTGCTCCAGAAGGTCCAGCACCCGCAGCTCCTGCCGCTCCCTCTCCAACCGCTCCTGCTCCTCTCGCTCACGCCGACGGGCAGCCTGGAGATGCGTGTCATGGCGGTGGGGAGGCGGAGTGGACTCCGCAGAACTAGGGTCTCCAGCTCCAGTCTCCTCAGACTCAGCACCCCCAGAACCAACACCTCCAGAGCTAGCGCCACCTGCGCCAGCCCCTCCAGCTCCAGCACCCCGCGAACGAGCACCCCCAGACCGCGCACCGCCAGCGGCTGCACCTCCAGCTCCAACACCAACCAAGTCCACAGGAACCTGTCGCGGAAGTACCGAAGGCTGCTGAGGGGACTGTGAGGAGGACTGCGGGGAGGGAGACGCTACCTGACGCGCGACCGAGGGTAGAGGGGTAGCGTGGGACACACCAGACGGGGCAGGACCAGGGGGGGGCGGGGGTACCGGAGGAGCAGGAGCAGGAGGAGGAGAGGGTGCTAGGAAAAGGGGGGGAGGGGGTACTGGGAGACCTCGACAGGGGTACCGGGTGTAGTAGGACACAGACTCGTCAAACCGGACGTCACGGGAGTCTAGGAACTGGTGGAGGGGCGGGTGGTAAAAGGACCAGTCGGCAGAGTCCACTGGGAAACCAAGGAAGACACAGGGGACGGCGCGTGCCGAGAGCTTGTCCGCGGAGGTGTCGCGAACAAGCGCAAGGCAGCCCCAGACTCGAAAGGCCGACCCAACACCAGGGGAACCAGTCCAAAGACTGGTCGGTGAAGCCTCGGGCCGCGAGACACGCGGCTGGAGGTTCAGCTGGTGTGCGGCGTAGCGAACCGCGTGGGGCCATAGAAAATGGGGCGCACGGGCATGGATCATGGACGTGCGGGCGATGTCCATGACCAAGCCGATGCGGCGCTCAGCAACCCCATTCTGCTGTGGGGACTCAGGCAGCGTCCAGGACTGTGTGATGCCCTGTTCGCCGCAGAATCCGCCGAGAATGCCGGAGCGAAACTCGCCCCCACGGTCGGAGTGGAGACAACTGACTCGACGACCACGAGTGCCCTCAGTGGCTAGAAGCCACCTGATCAGCGTAGCAGTCACCTCGGACTTCTTCGCAAGAGGGAACACTGTGGTGTACCTGGAGTAGTCGTCGACGACCACCAGAGAGTAACGCTCCCTCCCAGACCCCTGCGTCGGGGCAGGGCCCCAGACGTCCAAGTGGAGAGTCTCGAAGGGAGCGGTGGCCGGACGAAGGGAGGAGGAGTGGGGAGTGGCGCGTAAGTGACCGGCGACGCACGGAGAGCAAGGAGGGGCAAGCAAGGGAGGGAGCGACGGGAAGGTGCGTGGGAGACCTGTGACAAGTCCCTGACTGAGCATGCCACGAAGGCGAGGGATCGACGGGTGGCCAAGGTGGTGGTGCCACAGGACGGTGCGGTGGGCGAGAGAGCGACAGGAGCAAGACGCAGCGACTGGACTGGACACAGCGACCGGACTGGACACGACTATCTGGCTAGACACAGCAACTGAACTGGGGACCTGGGCCGGAGGGGACGCAATGACCTGAGGGGAGGACGCGACCGGGGAGCGCTCGGTGTGGAGAACGTAGAGACCGGAGTGGGGCTCCCTGGTGAACGTGGCCAGAACAGCACCTGTGGTAGCGTCTGTACAGACTGCAGTCCGCCCACCCCCCACGAAGGTAACCGTGATCCCCCTGTCCTGGAGGTATCCAACACCCACCAAGTTCCGAGTGAACGAGGGGATGTGGAGGCCGCGCAGGACACCAGAGGGGACCACAGGGCACGGGAGGGTGGTGGAGCTACGCGCAACGGCTGGTCCAGAGGTAGGATCAGCCAGAGCCACTGACACAGGTGTGAGGAGTGGCGTAAGGGTCGTGTGGTCGCGGAAGAAGCACTGAGACGCGCCCGAGTCCAGCGTGAACGAAAGAGAGGCCTCAGCCGGAGGGTCACCTGACCCAGTCGCTACACAAGCACCTAGAGCAGCAACACAAGCACCTAAGCTAGACAGGCACAAGGCTACACTAGCAGGAGGCAAGCAGGCTAAATTACAAACACGCGAGCACACAGATCCATCAGCACTTAAGTCAGCATCAACATACAAAGCATGCTGACGCGCATCGTCCATGGACAGATCAAAGACATCAATCTTACGGGCTAACAGACGAGACCAGCGAGGCGTGACCGCCAGAGGGCCCCAACGAGCCCGGTAGAGGTCGTCGAGGCGGCGGAAGCACCGCGCGGCAGAGTGGTCGTCGCGACCACAGAGACAAGGGCTGCCCGGCCTGGTGAGGCACCAGTGGGTGCAGGGGCCAGCGTCACGGCGAGGGGGCCGAGGGGCCCAGCTGGAAGAGCTGCTGCTGCGGCCGGTGCTCCCGGGGCCTCCCGGACCCCACTGCGGCGGGGGACCCCAGTGCTGCTGCGGACCCCACTGCAGCGGGGGCCCCCACTGCTGGAACTGCTGCGGTGCCTGCTGCTGCTGCAGTCCCTGCTACTGCTGGTGCTGCTGTGGCTGCTGCTGCTGGGGGGCAACACCCCCACCGGTCGGGCCACCACCTGTGGGTGGACCTGTCTGTCCTGCGCCTCCTCCAAGGCCTCCTCCCCCTGGTGCACCACCGCCGCCGCCGCCGCCTCCACCACCACCGCCGCTCCCACCTCCACCGCCCCCTCCACCGCCACCTCCTCCGCCCCCACCTCCCCCCTTCCCGCCCTTCTTGCCACTCTTGCCCCGTTTCTGCCAGTGCGGCAGAAACGGCAGCGGTGTCCTCAGAGACCGACACAGCAGCAGAAGCGCGGGTAGCGGTGAAAGTGGGAAGCTGAGGGGCGGCACACCCCGCAAAGAGACGGGGGGCCACCGCATCAGTGGCGGAGGCAACAGTGAGGAGGCTGCTCTCGATGGTCCCGAGAGCAGTCTGAAGGGGGTCTATAGTGAGTTCAGTGGGGTGCTTCTGAAGAAGCGCGTCGCGGGCAGTGGCAAGGCGGTCAGGGAGGCGGGTGACTAACCAGTGCACAGTGAGCCACATGGGGGGGGAGCAACAAGGAGCTGTGCGTCGGTACAGGCCGAACGAAAACCGGCGTCAAGCGAGCGGAGGTGAGTCACTAGGTCGGAAACAGTCGCAAACGAGCCTAGGTCGGGAAACACGAACGGCATGAGGAGGCGACTGAGGGAGGCGGAGGAGGGGGTGGAATAGCGAGTCACAATAGCATCCCAAACCCCCTTGGCTGTCTCCACCTGGTCAAAGTGAGCGGCCTCAGTCGGGGGGAGAAGCTCCGATAGCGTTAGGGCGGCGGCCGCGTCACGAGAGAGCCACACGTCCCGAGCCAGGACCCGACGGTCGTAGTCCGCCTGGGCCGTAGGAGCCGGCTCCGGGGCGGTCGGCAGGGCGGCGGGGGACGGGGGTGCCGCGAGAGCACCCGACGCGTGGGCCCACAGAGTGGCGCCGTCCTGACGCTGGCTGGTGAGGAAACGTGTGGTCTGGCGCTGCCAGGTACCGAACTCGATCGGGCGTCCCTCAGCATCGAAACGGAGGCGACGGGCCTCCATAGCGGAGCCCATGCTAGAGGCGACTGGAGTACGGCGGAGGCGGAGCTAAGAACGAGGAGGAAAACTACGGAGGGCTAGGGACGCCAGCGGGGAAACCGACGAGAGACAGTCGGCGAGAAAATAGTCGTGGGGCGGGGCTCTAACCGAACCTAGGTGGCGCTACCGGAGGGAAGAGCGGCTGCCAGCTGCTGAGCCGGGAGCCAAGTGCAGTAGGAATGGCGTGGGACCGGGGCACAGGTGAAGGGGAGAGAGATGCAGTAAGCGCACAAAGGGATGCGGTAAGCGCACGCAGGTGTGCGGTAAGCGCACGCAGGTGTGCGGTAAGTGCACGCAGGTGTGCGGGAAGCGCACGCAGGTGTGCGGGAAGGTTGACGGAGGAGGGCGCGCGACAGGCGGAGGGGAGGGCACGCGACGGTCTAAGGAGGGCGCGCGACGGTTAAGGAGGGCGCGCGACGGTGGGGGAGGGCGCGCGGCGGTCGAAGGAGGGCGCGCGACGGTTTAGGAGGGCGCGCAACGGTGGGGGAGGGCGAGCGGTGGTCTAAGGAGGGCGCGGGCTAGGCGCGAGGAGGGCGCGGAGGGCGCAGAGGGCGCGGAGGGCGCGAGAGCACGGAGGGCGCGTAGGGCGCGGAGGCTAGCTAAGAACGAACGAGGATCTAACCTACTCGTGATACCATCTCAGAATAGGAATGCAACGGAAATGGTTGGAGTTAGGGTTTGCAAGGGTACAAATAGGAAACCTACAAAAGCTTATACTCTCTAGGGAGTACCTCACTGCAGCCTATCATAACATTAACATTTGACAGTGACGGGTGGCAGCCTCAAGCTCCCGACGTACGCCATATTCAAACGGAAGACATTGCCATGAATCCTGGTGCCACCAGGTGAGGCAATACTTTCCGGTTTGATCCCTTCTTTACCTGCACATGTCTTTTCTTTAATAAATCCGTGTGTGGCTTGAACAGGTGTCGTCATCCGCACCCAAGCAAAGGATTGGATGGACGAGCGCCTTGTCCAGGATTGGACAACCCATATGCTCGTCCCCTTCATGAGGCTGCTGCAGGATGAGGGCGGAGGGCGCAAGCAGGCGCTCCTTGTCCTCGACTCGTACAAGGGACATCTCACTGTAGTGCCGTCGTCCCTGGTGGTTGCAACCCCCTGGTGCAACCGCTCGACGTCCCAAACAACCGCCGCTTCAAGTGCGGGGTTTGCCACCGCTACAGCACTTGTTTTGAGGAGGTGGGGATCGGCCTCACAACACGTGCAGGTGAGACCTTGCCCCTTGTGTCTAAACGTTCTTTGGGTTCCGTGAATTCCACTTACCTGGTCCCCCCTCGGACAACCATACCCTGTCTTGTGACCCTCTGAAAACTTGAATAAGCCCCCCTCTGAAGTCGTTCTCAAGTGGACCTTGAGTCTTGGGATGATGTGCCAAAGGAGCTGGTGAGGAGGAAGGCATTCCCCGTCTGCGACATCTCCAACGCAGAAGACGGGAGCAAGGATCACCAGACCATTGCTCACCTGCGGGATAAGGCGGAGGTGGAGGTGCCGGATGATGTGCAGGAGTCGGAGGAGGGGGCTGAAGCTACATCCCTCTCGAATGAGGAGGAGGATGGGGCAAACAAAATGAGGGGTGCCGACGAGTGGAGCGATGATGATGATGAAATGGAGGAAATAGAGGCGTGGGTGGCAGGCAAGGATGAGTGAATATGATGTGTTTCCTTCCCCCACCTTGCAACTTTTTTCATAAACAATCAACCTTGTGTTGGTTTAATGAACTTGACTCTCTGTTTCATACCCTACTCATGCTAGGAAAACAGTTGAAGGCATCAAGTTGCCTTTAAACAGTAGTGTACAAGTTTATGGAGAAGTCTTGTAGTGTTAACTCAACTGTGGTTCTCCGTCATAATTCCAGTCAAATGATCTGTGCCAGAAACTTCAAAGAAAACATCAACAATTTCATTGCAGCCAATTGCATAGACACAATCGAGACACATTCAAGGATGAATCGCATTTGCTAGCCACTGCCTTGCCTGAAGCCATAGCAGCAACTGTAGAACAAGCAATAAGCCAGTAAACGGAGTGAGCATTGACATCTGTTGGCTAAAACAGATCCGCAAGCCTCCGCATTTAACGGTAAGACTTCTGGTAGCGGGCGCGGGCACCACGACCACCGAACTTCTTGGGCTCGCAGCGGCGGGGGTCAGCAACGAGGAGCGTGCGGTCGTAACGCAACAACAAGTTCTTCAGCTCCCGCTTGGACTGCTCGTCCACGTCTGCTCGTACCAAAAAGGAAGAGAATGGTTGGGAGTGAGGAAATTATGAAATAAACATGGAAGACAAGAGAAAAGGGGATAATGGCAAGACAAGTAGATGTGCTGTGCAAGAGTAAGATTGCAAGAATTGAAACACTCACTTCCCAGCACAACCCATGCAACCCACAACACACACCATCAGTCATGCCAGAACTCCACATCCACTAAAACATCCCAGCCTAAAGATATCACGTACACTTCTGGTAGTAGGCAACGAGGGCCTTGGCAATGGCCTGACGGATGGCTGTGATGGGGACGGACACACACGGAAAGGGCGAAGGTTCGGGACTGAAGCAAAAACGACACTGTAGGAAAAATGGTACAAATTAACAACAGACGGTAAAGTTGCAGAGGGAAACTGGGTGTAGAAACAGACCAAATCCAACAACTCCAACTGCCCCACACGAGAAGGGGTATTTAGGGAGAAAAGTGAAGTTGGCGGAACAAAGTTGGCGCAACGCACCATAGATCTGTGACACGTGTCCTCCTCCCTGCACGCGGATGCGGATGTCGACATTGGCGAACTTGTCCTTGCCCAGCACCGTCACGGGTTCGAACGCCTTCGCGCGGAGCGTATCAGGCTCCACCAGCTCAAGCGGCGACCCTGCGCGCAGGGGAAGGGGAGGGGGAGGCCCGGGGAAGGGGGAGGCGGGGAGAAGTTGGAGGAGAGAAAAGGGGGTAGAGTTATACAGGATACGTTGCGACAGGGGGGAAGGAGGGAGGGGGAGGGGTGGTTTGTTGATGTGGGGGAAGGTGAAAAGGATGGCGAGGGGGGGAGGGGGGGGAGGGAAGAGGTCTAGAAGTCACAGTGTTGAGTCAAAGGTAGGGTACCGGAAAAAAAAACCCTTAAGAACGAGGGAGGAGGAATGGGTTTCGAAATCTTTTAGTTGAAGGTCTCGGAGGAATCTGGGAAATTTTGAAATGGGAGAGGATGCATAGCAGAGGATGTGAAGCAAGCGAGAGCACTAACCGTTGAGGCGAATAAGACCCTTGCCCCTCTTGCAGTGAGCCACTGCCACTGCTGTCTTCTGCTCCCAAGAAACCAGAGGAGAGGAAATTGGGACAGAGGGAAGAAGAGGCGTAAGGTCGAGAAGAAATGAAAGGCAAAAGGAGGTTGAACATTAAGGAATCATCGAGATTCCGTGTGCAGCGTCAATGAATACCTAGGACAGAACCCTATGTCAACGCCATAGACCAACGCCCTAAGTCAAAGCCCCAGGATGCGATACTGATCGCTCTGTCCACGCAGTGGATCCGGGTTGATCCGGGACCACTTTAACATTTCTGTAACAACAACTGATTATTTCTTATGTTTCAATTTCGTGGAAAAACCGCCAGTGATAGTGGAAGGCGGAGGAGGTAGGGGAAAATGAGGATACAACGCACCTTGCGACCGAAACACTGCACCGACTGCAGCGACGCAGAGATGACACAGCATCAACCACGACCGCGAAACGCCGCACCGAAGGGAGTTCGAGAGAGGGGGGGGAAGGGAGACGAGACGGGGGCAGGGAAAGGAATGGGCAACAAGTGAGATATTCGTTGAAAAAACGGCAATAAATGGTAACAGGGAGGGGAGAGAGGAACGACAGGGAGTGGGATTGCGGCCAACGACAGGGGGGAAGCAGGTTGCAAGAGAGGAGCGGCATGGGGGGAGAGAGGGAAGACGAAGGAAAGGTCAAGAGTAGAATAAGACCGAATACAAGAAACGATCAGCACAGACGGATCAGACACGCAGCCAACGGGAGGCCTGATCGGAGTGCACGAGGAACCATTCTCGAATAACGGCAATGCACGCCTGACTAATCACCAGCACTACGCACAGGTTCTCAGCAGAGCTACACCTACCGAGCCCACTCTATCGCAGCGTCGCTTCCATCCCATCAAAGCAGTCTACTTATTTGGACCGCTAGTCCAGCTTTCTCTGACCTCAAGACAGGTCCGATCCCTATCCGACCCCACTCGCACGACTGGCTTTACGACGACTTCGAGCGGCGTGTGCTGGGAAACTACAACAGCACGATGCGAGATTCGTGTATGGCTAGAGCAGAACGACCCCCTGGAGGCGTTCTTGACAAGACACACCCGCATCCCCTTCTTCTTAGCCGTGCTCACGCGTCAGCTACAGCGACTGTTTGCTGCTAATGAGGCTGTCCATGTCGGATAGTGGATCTGGTCATAGCATGGCCCGCGACCATGACGGACATAATGACTTCAAACGGAATGGCATGGCTTCAGATGCATTGCTTCGGCAAGCCCATCTCACCCTAATCTGACGAAAGACATATGACAATTCCGATAAGCCAGCATGCAAATAGCCGGAGGCAAAAATTGAAGCATTTTGGAACGATAAAAACGGGAAAAAAAAAAAAAAACTCCCACAAAGCTTATCTCGGCCCAGTTGTGCACGAAGATAAACGAAACAAGAAAAACGAGAGCATATTGTTGCGCTTCGACGATCGACAGCCCTCCTGCAGCGAATGACGGTTCTTCCCTAACGCCATGCTAAACGAGGTGCTCCGTCAAATTTTTGAACTGGATAGAGCCGCAGCCACTGCACTAGACGAAACCCTAACGCTGGAAAACGGGTCGGCAGCACCGGAATTCTGAGCAGGGTTAACTAATCGAGGACATAACCACCCCTACGACACTACGAGCTCATCTCTAGGGAAAGTCTGCGCAGCTTAGTGCGATGCGGTTCGTACCTCCATGGCTGGCGACAAGCAAAGGCAGCCTGACGAAGAGAGCTGGGCGAGAAAGGAAGGAGAGAAAGAAATCGCAAGGCGAGGAGTAGAGGGAGGAAAGAGAGCAAGCGTGGGCGAAAAGTGGAGAGAAATGGTGAGCGCGATGTTGAGGGCTGGAGGTGAGGGGACGAGGGTGGGGAGGTGGGGAGGAAGGGAGGATGGGGCGGGGGAATTAAGGCGGGCATGGATGCGGGCGCGCAGGGAGGCGGGCACGCAGGGAGGCGGTCGTGCAGGGAAAATGTTGGGGGAATGTTCGGAGCGCACACGGGGTGCGGAAAGAGAACTGGCCTGGCGATGGTTGGGAATCGTGGCGGTGGCAAACGAGGGCGGGATGTGTTCAAGGCTCGGCAGGTTTTTGTGTGGGGGAACTGAAGTGGGGGTTTGATCAGCATTTTTGGGCTTCGAGAGTACCCTGGGGTGCATCCACGCCAATAACAGTGCGTGTCCCCCTGTGCAATCTTTGTAAATATCTGTAGTATCGTATGATTCTACAATAAGGGATGCATGTCGGCTAAAAAATAATATTTCAGTTTTGATATGGTTTTATGTATGCTAATTCCCAAAAACTTACATAAGCTGTTAATGTGCATTGTTTTATTTAGTATTTTCACATGGATAGAAGCGATTTATTTTGTATTTTCACACCAAGTACGTAAGGGAGGTCAGCTGATGTTCTGCTGATGATCCCCATTATAATGGGGACATTCATTCACTTGTTGATGTGGCGTCATATCCCAGCTACACGTCAAACGCAAAAGCGACCTCGTGGCTGAGGGTCCCACTCAGACTTCAACATCAACAAGGCGTGTTCAATCAGAACCCTGTGGAACCGGTGTCAGTATTACTGTACCGCATTTGTGCCTGGTGAAGTACGTTGTCGGAAACCACACGCTGATTGTCACCGTCATTTCATTACGACAAACGACTAAACGCAGTGACGATCAAGCCCTAGCATGACAAGCTTGCCTTCGGTTGCAATGGAAATTGGAATGCAAGACAGCACACCACAACATGAACGAATGGATTGATGATGGTACACATGATGCCCGTTTGAGCCACTCCCGGTTGCCTTGTGAAGGGGGCGCATAAGCTGTCAAGCGCATTTCGCATAAGTTTCGTCAGTTCGCAGCTAGCAAAAAAGGATTCGTCAGGTGCATATAAAAGTTTTGTAACTTATCCGTTGACATTTTGACTTCAGTCTCTTCAGTTTGACTTCGGTCCGTTCGTTATTATTGGTTCAGAACCACTGCAACTTGCGCGACGTGCTTGTAACGTGCGTGCAACTGGCTAGGGAAAAAACCTCGGGTGCAAGGTTTCCATCCGGTGCAGGGCAAATTCGCGTGCAGGGGCTGGGCATCATGTGTAGTAAACCTGCTATGCTATGGTTGTCGTGGAGTCCAAATTTCGGCTGTCTGTGGGACAGTGAGACCAGTCCACGGAGTCTACAGCAATAGCAATCGCAATCGAGATTATTTCGTGGCACGTTTGTCTTTCCCGGGGTGCTTGCTTGCCAGGCGACGCAGCATCGGTAGTTGTTTAATTGACGGCGAGACAGTGGAGACCGGTCTAGAATTCCCTTCGCGACCCCCACGGCAGCATGGCGGCGCGTTTTCTTGATTCTCCATTCTTTGGCTCCGTGGTCTCGCAACGCGCTCCTTTTCCCGCCGACCGTTGCGCGGCGGAAAGGGTCCCCGCGCGTCCGCCGCCGATTCTTCGTGGCCGACCGGACCGCTCCATTGCGCGCCCGTGCACGATCCCCCCAGTCTGTGCAGCGCATGTCGTAGCCTCGGTCTGGTTCGATGATGACGTGGACGACCACGTGGACGATCCGCGGTTTGCGGGGTGGGAAGGCGGTAGTAGTGCAGGCGGACGGGCGGGGAGACGAGGGGGGAGGCGCGGAGAGAACGCGGAGCAGGCGGGAGCGCGTGCGACCCGCAGGAAGGCGAAAGACTCGAAACGCGGTCGGGGAAACAGGGCGGCTGACGTGGACAGGGAGGGCGAGCAGCAGGGGAGCAGAGCGAATGGGGATGAAGGGATGAGATTGAATGGCGGCACTCCCAGCACTAGTAGCACCCCCTTTACTGGGAAGACAGCCGTTCTAACGGTGCCTGCTACGGAGAGTCGAGTACTCGCTGAGGCTGCTACAGCCGCTGGTATCAGGGAAGCTGTGTCAACCCCAGCCGGCACAGGTCCACCAGCAGCAGCACCAACAGCAGGAGAAGGAGCAGGAGGAGGAGGAGCAGGAGCAGCAGCAGCAGGAGCAGCTGCAGCAGGAGCAGCAGCAAGAGCCTCGTGGTTTGTGGCGGACGGAGCGTCCTCGGCTGTCCCTCCTTCCTCCTCATTCGTGAAACCCCTCTCCACGCTCTACCCTCGTGTGCCCTGCCGCGTCTGTCAAGGTGCATGGGGGTGGTGTCTGGGGGAGTGGGGGGGAAGAAGGGGAGTGCGGGGGGAGGAGGGATTGTTGTGGAAGGAGGGAGTGTGGTGAGAGGAGGGATTGTTGTGGGAGGAGGGATTGTGGTGAGAGGAGGGATTCTTGTGGGAGGAGGGATTGTGGTGGGAGGAAGGATTGTGTTCTGAAGAGATTGGTGAAGCTGATGCAGGACGAGGGTGGTGATGTGAGGGCGAGGGATTGGGTTGGACAGAAGAGGGGACGGGAAGGGGAAACGAAGGAAGGAAAGGGGAAGAGGGAAGGGGGAAGGGAATTGAAGGAACACAGACAGTGGTCACCCTAGCATATTTCAATGCGACCACCATGCGCTGCTGCTTTTTTTTGCGGCAGCTCACTCCAAACAGCTCCTTTATTTCCTTCCTCCTCCTTTTTGACCCCCACAACTGCTCCCATCCCCCCCCCCCTTGCTCTGTGCCAGATACAAAGCTGGTGGAGTGTGCGTGCTGCGATGGTGTTGGCACACTGGCTCGTGGAGGCTTCCAGAAGAAAAACCCAGTCTCTGTTTCAAGAATTATAGGTAAAGAATTCTTTAGAGGCATCACATATATAGCATAGCGGTCGCTACGTTTACCGCAGTAGCCCGCCTGCATATTTAAGTGAGCATGCAGTGCTAAGCAAAGTCAAGGTTGGATGCTTTTCATTCTTGTTATTTTTTGCTATAGTTTCACTCTTGGCAAGAGTTGACCCCCACCATCCAATGTGAGTTGGTTTCCATCATATAACTTTTGATACAGTTCCTCCTTTGATTCATTATTTCACTGCTTTCTGCTGAAACTGTTTTCCTTTCAGGATCCAAATGGACAGCCATGGTGCGCACGCATGGTTGGCACCACTTTAGGGTGGAATCCAAGAGAAGGATGGGTGGCAGTGCTGGAAGCAGTCGCACAGGCGCAGGAATGGGTGAAGCTGAGACGCCTGAAGAGAAAGATGTGGATGGGGCTGGCAATCCAATCATTGTGTGGAAGGCTGCTGGGGATTCTGCTTCTAGCTCGGGATTAGGATCGAAAAGTGACTGGTTTGTGGAGATGGTGGCGACATGTGACCCTAGCACTCGAGTTTGGGTGAATGCTCACAACCTTAAGGTGAGTGGTTTCTAGGTATGCGCCAAGTGGTTGGAAACTTTGTCAGGCCAAAATTGTCACGATGAAGGTTGCATACTCAATTCTTTCCTTCACAGCACCGCCTCCATTTCCACTTCTCGTGTCCTCTCCCACTTCTTCTGTCAGAATCGAAGACATTGGGCCATGGGCTGGCTGCAGAAGGAGGAACTGCAGGCCCTGGATTTTTTCGCTCCTAACGCACAGGTTTCAGGGCTCGGGGCAGAATCAGGAGTAGATGGAGGGAGCAATGATGGGCTCTCAAAACGTCTGGTATGCAAGGCATGTCAAGGGCAGGGCAAGGTTGCCTGTCCCAGATGTAAAGAGCTGGCAGAGATGCGGGAAAGGGAGAGAGCGCGACGGAGAAATGAAGGTGGAAGAGATGGGTTTGATGATGACTTTCAAGATGATGGATTGTTAGAGATAATCCAGATTTGACATGTGTCTGCCAATTAGTGGTGAATTGACAAGCTTCTTCAGAAAACAGGTTCTGTTCCCTCTAAATACATAAGTGGTATACTCTTAGCAAACGTTGGCAAATTGACCTGGGCCCATGCATTCTCCAGCCATTCTTCAGAAACGTGCTCCCTTGAGCTTTCAATCATAACATGCAAGGTCATGCTCGAGCTTTCTCCTCCTTGATTCCAAATCCTGCAGGTATTGATCGTAAGAAAGGTCCTGCATGATAGGATTGATACAGTATGTACAATTATCTCCCACCTCTATTTCCTTCTTTGCCTCTTCCTTTTTCTCCTTTTCTTTCTGGATGTCCTTCTTCAGTTGACCGACACACACTATCCCCTGCCATTGGAGACTAAGAATAAAAATCCGAATGCACGAATGGATACTTGGTGAGGAATTCACATACCCCGCAAAAATGGAGTATTCCACAAACAAGGAGAAGCCAAATTGCTCCATTGTCAAAAATCTTTTCAAAAATCGACTTGCTGCAGGTCCTTGTTATGGCCTTTGTCAGAATTGCAACGCTGCGAATGACAGATTGGCGTTTAAGTTGACAGAAGTGAGGTCAAATTGTATGATTAAAGGGAACGCTTACAATCCTTGCAGCATTCCCCTTGCTGTCCAGAACTTCAAGATCTGAGAAAACCGGTGTCGCGAGTTATTGCTCATTGCAGAGACTTTGAAGGGGCACTTTTCTGACTTTCTTACCTCCATGGACTTCGTGACTACGTCCAGCTCCGCTTCCAGCAACGCTGAAGCAAGAGACAAGACAATTCCATATGCTTGCAACAGCACAAGAAAAACCTGAAGTAGGCACAGTCAATATAGGAAGGTGGTGCTCGTGAAAAGTAAAGTACGGTAAGCACGTACCTTCACTCCAGGAGGAATAGCGCTGACGACCATCGAGATGCCATTGACAACGGCACAGGCAACAGATGATATTGCCGTTACGACTGATAGAACAGTACAAATTGTCATGAAGACCTGCCGTTCAGATATTTGTTTGGCATATTTTGGAGGCTTTGCATGTTGAGGAGTCGCGACGGCCAGGTCTGCGTCCTCAACAGAAAGTCTGGTGTCCTCGCGTGGGCTCAATGGCGGACTTATGTCATTCCTGAAATTAATATCATAAGCGTACATCCCATCAGTAGAGGTGAAAACCAATGGCGGCGCCTTACATTGGTACTACAGGAGTCTCCATTGTTTTGAGATTGGTGATGTCAGGATGGAAAACAAATGGTAAGATTCGCTTCCACAAGTGTTGAAAAAGCTGAAGACTCTCTTCGAGATTCTGTTCTTCGAACAAGTGAGACTCGCATCCAGAACACAACACAATCAAGGTGGGGTGCCTGCCTGAACGAGCTCTGGTCGGAGCCTCAATCTGCGATTCTGCGACCTCTATTGGAAGAGTGGTGCAAGAAACTGGTGCGTATGCGTAATAGCTCAATAACGGGTTGCAGGGACTTGCAACAGCTGGACAAGGGTGATTTACAACACCACAACATTTTATCTAAACACAGACATGGGTGATTTACAAAATCACAACATTTTATCTAAACAGCCTAACTAAGGGTACGTTCTTGGCTGGTGTCTAGCTTCGGGCCAAGTTCCCCTGATGTCAGGCCCCTCCAGCGAGGTCTGACACGAATTTTCGATTTTGCCTCATGCCCGTCAATTCTACCTTGTGTCAAGCAGCTTGGCCCGAAGCTAGACACCAGCCAAGAACGTTCCCTAAGCCATGATCATCAAGAGCTTGCTTGCAATCCCAAAAATTTTCATTATTGCCAACTCCTGAAATTACTAAGATACCGTAGATTCCTCATAGAAATGGCAGATCTGTGCCTTCCTCCATGGAGAAGAAAATACGACCCGATCAAACATTGAAACTACTTGATTAACAATCTTCAGCCCTACATCTAGTTATTGCCAGACCTTCCTGCCTTAGCATCAATTGCTGCTGCCGCCGCAGCTGCAGCTGCATGAGCCATACCCGATCTCCCTTCAAACGCCACCCCCCCACCCCCTCCACCTTCCCCGTCAGACCCCCTCCTCCCTCCCCCACCCCTCTCCTCGCCATCTCCACCCTCATCTCCCCCTACCAACCTCTCAGAACCCTCCACCTCGCCTTCCCCATCACTCTCCCCATCTCCTCCCAGCGAGTCGGTCCCTTCAAACCCAACCGGAATGGGCTTGGTGGCCACAAGAATGCGCTCCGGGCTTTTCTTGGTCTCCGGGGGGAAGAAGGCGAGAGACCACTGGGCGGCTCTAGCTGCCTGGGCCACCACAGCGAGAGGCCCGGGGAGGTCGCGCACAATGACAGTGCCACCTGGGCGGAGGAGTCGATCCATCTCCACGACTATGTCCGCAATCTCACAGCGCTCCCTTTGGGGTGCAGGAAGGGTGCGGGGAGGGTGCAGGGAGGAAGGGGGGGAAGGGAGGGGAGGGCCGGAGAGGGAAGGGAGGAGAACGGGGAGGGGAGAAGGATATGGATGAGGCGTCTAGCTGCCTGGGCCACCACAGCGAGAGGCCCGGGGAGGTCGCGCACAATGACAGTGGCCCCTGGGCGGAGGAGTCGATCCATCTCCACGACTATGTCCGCAATCTCACAGCGCTCCCTTTGGGGTGCAGGAAGGGTGCGGAAAGGGTGCCGAGGGGGGGTGCGGGGACGGTAATGGGAGGGTGAGGGAAGGGTGATGGGAGGAGGAGGAGGAGGAGCAGGAGGAGGAGGAGCAGGAGGAGGAGGAGGAGGAGGAGGAGGAGGAGGAGGAGGAGGAGGAGGAGGAGGAGGAGGAGGAGGAGGAGGAGGAGGAGGAGGAGGGGGGGGGGGGAGGAGGAGGAGGAGGAGGAGGAGGAGGAGGAGGAGGAGGAGGAGGAGGAGGAGGAGGAGGAGGAGGAGGAGGAGGAGGAGGGGGAGGCAGGTGAGAGGGCCGGGGGGGAGGGGAAGGGAGGGAGAGACATGGGTGAAGGTTCGGAATTCCATAAGGACACATTGACACGATGGTATATTTCCAAAGATACAGCTGCCTGCAGTCCTACAGAGCAGGTTTTGGTTCGTGCAGTTTGCTGATCATTCCAAACAGGACATGTACGTGAATGCAGGCTGTGCCAGTGCGGGTGAAAGGGTGGGTGTGAAGAGTGGTGTGAAAGTGAGCAAGTGTGAAAGCATGAGGGTGAGCGTGAGAGTGAGAGTAGAGAGAGTTACCTGGAGGGCATGAGCGGCGCAGTAGAGAGCAAGTGAATGAGGTCGTAGGTGCGAGGGTACGATGAGAACGACTCACACCTGGCACATGCACGCACGGGCCAGTGGTGCAGGGGAGGAAGGCGGGAAAGGGGAGGTAGGGTAAGCAGGAGAACGGGAAGAAACGGAAAAGGAATGAGTGGGAAGTGACACAACGGGGCATTGATCCAGTCAGTTACGCGCAAGGGGGCATTGGTCCCCTGGCGGGGAAGTATGTATCACACTGAACCGACATCACACCGAGCAGCTACTGGAACCATCTCCCTTCAAAACATCAATAACGACAGGCGCCGTTAATGCCTCTCGCTGTTCTCTCCATGTGTGTTACTGT